GTATACTTATACCTGCCCACTACATATAGACATAGCCACCTTCCTCTATTCTGTCCCTCTCCCAAACACAGAGACACTCATGACTGTCGTGTGAGTATACTAATAACTGCCCACTACATCTAGACATAGCCACCTTCGTCTATTTTGTCCCTCTCCCAAACACACAGACACTCATGGCTGTCGTGTGAGTATACTTATACCTGCCCACTACATATAGACATAGCCACCTTCGTCTACTCTGTCCCTCTTCCAAACACAGATACACTCATGACTGTCGTGTGAGTATACTTATACCTGCCCACTACATATAGACATAGCCACCTTTCGTCTACTCTGTCCCTCTTCCAAACACACAGACACTCATGATTGTCGTGTGAGTATACTTATACCTACCCACTACATTTATACATAGCCACCTTCGTCTAATCTGTCCCGCTCCCAAACACACAGACACTCATGACTGTCCAGTGAGAATACTTATACCTGCCCACTACATATAGACATAGCCACCTTCGTATACTATGTCTCTCTTCCAAACACAGAGACACTCACGACTGTCGTGTGAGTATACTTATACTGCCCACTACATATAGACTTAGCCACCTTCTTCTACTCTGTCCCTCTCCCAAACACACGGACACTCTTGACTGTCGTTTCGAGTGTACTTATACCTGCCCCCACTACATATAGGCATAGCCACCTTCGTCTACTCTGTCCCTCTTCCAAACACACAGGACACTCATGACTGTCGTGTGAGTATACTTATACATGCCCACTACATATAGACATAGCCACCTTCGTCTACTCTGTCCCTCTCCAAACACACAGACACTCATGACTGTCATGTGAGTATACTTATACCTGCCCACTACATGTAGACATAGCCACCTTCGTCTATTCTGTCCCCTCTCCCAAACACACAGACACTCATGACTGTCGTGTGAGTATACTTATACCTGCCCACTACATATAGACATAGCCAACTTCGTCTACTCTGGCCCTCTTCCAAACACAGAGACACTCATGACTGTCGTGTGAGTATACATTTACCTGCCCACTACAGAAAGACAGCCACCTTCGTCTACTCTGTCCCTCTTCCAAACACAGAGACACTCATGACTGTCGTGTGAGTATACTTATACCTGCCCACTACATATAGACATAGCCACCTTCGTCTACTCTGTCCCTTTACAAACACACGGACACTCTTGACTGTCGTTTGACTATACTTATACCTGTCCACTACATATAGACATAGCCACCTTCTACTATTCTGTCCCTATCCCAAACACACAGACACTCATGACTGTCGTGTGAGTATACTAATAACTGTCCACTACATCTAGACATAGCCACCTTCGTCTATTCTGTCCCTCTCCAAACACACAGACACTCATGGCTGTCGTGTGAGTTTACTTATACCTGCCCACTACATATAGACATAGCCACCTTCGTCTACTCTGTCCCTCTTCCAAACACAGAGACACTCATGACTGTCGTGTGAGTATACTTATACCTGCCCACTACATATAGACATAGCCACCTTCGTCTACTCTGTCCCTCTCTCAAACACACAGACACTCATGATTGTCGTGTGAGTCTACTTTTACCTGCCCACTACATATAGATATAGCCACCTTCGTCTAATTTGTCCCTCTCCCAAACACACAGACACTCATGACTGTCCAGTGAGAATACTTATACCTGCCCACTACATATAGACATAGCCACCTTCGTCTACTCTGTCCCTCTTCCAAACACAGAGACACTTACGACTGTCGTGTGAGTATACTTATACCTGCCCACTACATATAGACTTAGCCACCTTCGTCTACTCTGTCCCTCTCCCAAACACACAGACACTCATGACTGTCATGTGAGTATACTTATACCTGCCCACTACATGTAGACATAGCCACCTTCGTCTATTCTGTCCCTCTCCCAAACACACAGACACTCATGACTGTCGTGTGAGTATACTTATACCTGCCCACTACATATAGACATAGCCAACTTCGTCTACTCTGGCCCTCTTCCAAACACAGAGACACTCATGACTGTCGTGTGAGTATACATTTACCTGCCCACTACAGAAAGACAGCCACCTTCGTCTACTCTGTCCCTCTTCCAAACACAGAGACACTCATGACTGTCGTGTGAGTATACTTATACCTGCCCACTACATATAGACATAGCCACCTTCGTCTACTCTGTCCCTTTACAAACACACGGACACTCTTGACTGTCGTTTGACTATACTTATACCTGCCCACTACATATAGACATAGCCACCTTCTACTATTCTGTCCCTATCCCAAACACACAGACACTCATGACTGTCGTGTGAGTATACTAATAACTGTCCACTACATCTAGACATAGCCACCTTCGTCTATTCTGTCCCTCTCCCAAACACACAGACACTCATGGCTGTCGTGTGAGTTTACTTATACCTGCCCACTACATATAGACATAGCCACCTTCGTCTACTCTGTCCCTCTTCCAAACACAGAGACACTCATGACTGTCGTGTGAGTATACTTATACCTGCCCACTACATATAGACATAGCCACCTTCGTCTACTCTGTCCCTCTCTCAAACACACAGACACTCATGATTGTCGTGTGAGTCTACTTTTACCTGCCCACTACATATAGATATAGCCACCTTCGTCTAATTTGTCCCTCTCCCAAACACACAGACACTCATGACTGTCCAGTGAGAATACTTATACCTGCCCACTACATATAGACATAGCCACCTTCGTCTACTCTGTCCCTCTTCCAAACACAGAGACACTTACGACTGTCGTGTGAGTATACTTATACCTGCCCACTACATATAGACTTAGCCACCTTCGTCTACTCTGTCCCTCTCCCAAACACACGGACACTCTTGACTGTCGTTTGAGTATACTTATACCTGCCCACTATATATAGACATAGCCACCTTCGTCTACTCTGTCCCTCTTCCAAACTCAGAGACACTCATGACTGTTGTGTGAGTATACTTATACCTGCCCATTAGATATAGACATAGCCACCTTCGTCTACTATGTCCCTCTCCCAAACACACAGACACTCGTGTGAGTATAATTATACCTGCCCACTACCAATAGACTTAGCCACCTTTGTCTGCTCTGTCCCTCTCCCTAACACGCAGACACTCATGACTGTCGGGTGAGTATTTTTATACCTGCCCACAACCAATAGACTTAGCCACCTTCGTCTACTATGTCCCTCTCCCAGACACACAGACACTCATGACTGTCGTGTGAGTATACTTATACCTGCCCTCTACATATAGAATATAGCCACCTTCGTCTACTATATCCATCTCCCAAATACACAAACATTCATGACTGTCGTGTGAGCATACTTATACCTGCCCACTACATATAGACATAGCCACCTTTGTCCACTCTGTCCCTCTCCCAAACACATGACTGTCGTGTGAGTATGCCTATACCCGCCGACCACATATGGACATAGCCACCTTCGTCTTTTATGTCCCTCTCCCAAATACACGGACACTCTTGACTGTCGTTTGAGTATACTTATACCTGCCCACTACATATAGACATAGCCACCTTCGTCTACTCTGTCCCTCTTCCAAACTCAGAGACACTCATGACTGTCGTGTGAGTATACTTATACCTGCCCATTTGATATAGACATAGCCACCTTCGTCTACTATGTCCCTCTCCCAAACACACAGACACTCGTGTGAGTATACTTATACCTGCCCACTACCAATAGACTTAGCCACCTTCGTCTGCTCTGTCCCTCTCCCTAACACGCAGACACTCATGACTGTCGGGTGAGTATTTTTATACCTGCCCACAACCAATAGACTTAGCCACCTTCGTCTACTATGTCCCTCTCCCAAACACACAGACACTTTTGACTGTCGTGTGAGTATACTTATACCTGCCCTCTACATATAGAATATAGCCACCTTCGTCTACTATATCCATCTCCCAAATACACAAACATTCATGACTGTCGTGTGAGCATACTTATACCTGCCCACTACATATAGACATAGCCACCTTTGTCCACTCTGTCCCTCTCCCAAACACATGACTGTCGTGTGAGTATGCTTATACCCGCCGACTACATATGGACATAGCCACCTTCGTCTACTATGTCCCTCTCCCCAACGCACAGACACTCATCACTGTCGTTTGAGTATACTTAATAAGCACGGTGTTCATGGCCCACGTGCTCTTCATGATAAACTCGGCTTGTGTGACGTTATCAAGGTCCTGCAGAGCAGACGTTTAAACTGGTTTGGATATGTTGAGCGCGCTCCCTTCGATTCATGCATCAAAGTTGCCAGTGATATGAGGATCTCATCCATCAAAAGACGTAGGAGACCAAAAAGACTTGGTTACCTCTGTGCGAGTAATTATATGAAAGGTTTATGCATTAACAACACTGACCCTCATAACCGTTTACCATGGCGAGCTGCAGTTCGATAATACCTGGTACTGCCAACCCCATCTAATGTGATAGAGAGAGTACCATAATTAAAAGTTAGATATGAAGATGATGATATGATTTAGTTGATGCAAGGGGCCATGGCTATGTGGTGTTTAAGAAGGAACTAGTCGGGTTTAGACGATTTATCCACAAGGGAATGGACCGATATACGAGCAGATCAGCTATTCACAGAGAACCGCTGTTGTGACCCTGGTTAAGATATACATGCAGCTTTTTTGGCTCGCGAGTTTTGATTTTCCATATTATGAATTTCCATATTGACAGTTGCGGTTAGCCAGTAAGAAAAGTATCTTTTTTGATCAATATTTTTTTCAGTTAAAGAATCTGAATGATGTAAAAGGTTTTAAAACTGTTTTTTTTTTCAAAACGAGTGAAAACCTTGTAAAACGTCTCAAAAGGTAAGTTGCAATATTTTTGGTCATTTAAGTGGTCAAGTTGACTGATTGTGGCAACAAATTGGAATGAAGAAATAAGCTTGTGTATGTGTGTGTTAGGCTGGTGCTATCGCTGTTCAACTCAGTGGCTTGGCCTGTGTTTTGCTCGCGTGCCTTGGCTGCCTACAGGCGAACCAACGAACTCTCCCAGAGACCCTCTCTCTCCACCCAACTGTTCCTCCTCAACTGCTTCAATGCCGCCTTCTGTGGACTGTGTGGTCTCATCAGAGTCTACAATCTGCCCATATGGACAGCAGCCGGCAAAGTGGCGGTTGCAGTGGGAACGAAAGACGACGTGCAACCTGATATAGGTATGAAAGATGATATGTTTGGCTTCGCTCTAGTGTTTATGAATGTATTGAAAGCGCTGAAAGAGGTGGTGATTTTTTCAAGGGTAAGTTTTAAAATTTGATCCATTGAAGTTTGTTTTTCGCGGTTTTGCTTTTGATTTTTGTTCAAATTCATTTGTCAAAATGAAGGAAGTTTTTGTTCTCGAATTAACAAAAGTTTAATAAGAGCAAAAAGCGGGAATTATTTCTGGTTTCAAAAATGGATTTAAGTTCTTGGATTTCGAGCGGAAATACATAAATTTCCCAATGATCCTGTTTTCTCAACTGGGGTTGAATTGATCTTCAGAATTCAAAGAGCTTTAGCGCAATATGTTTTCTTCGGAAGAGCTTTTACAATTTTTTTAATCTACTTGAATTCATTGACATTTTTCCGAGTGTTGGCTTATGTTTGTATTTTGAGGTGAACTTTGCAATTTCATTTATTGGAAAACTCTGTCCTTTACGAATCTTTCATATGGTAGATGTTTTGCACGCTTTTCTTAAAACGTATTATTACTGGATCAAATAGTAGAGGAAGAAAATATTTTACTGCGCCAACATCGGATGGTATTCTCAAGATGAAGGGACCCAATGATGGAAAAGTTTTAACTAATCAGAATCGTTAGTCCTTCCTATTTGCTGAAAATTTTTGTTTTCCAGGTTTTAATGTGGTAAGTTTTTTTCCAATATCTGACTTCGATTTCGCAATTTTTGAAAAACTCGTCTATCTATTTATTTTCCAATCGGTCAATATTAATTTGTATGGCCGAGATTTTTTTCGTTTGCTTCGAGATAAGATTACAAAATTTAGTCCCTCCATCATGAGTGACGCCCACCACCATCTTATATATTAAATGAAAGCCTTAATGCGCTATATACCAAACGTTTAATGTTTTCTATCGATCACAACGTATGAGAAATCACTCTCTAGCGAGAATTTGCTAGAAGTTTTTCTCAATCCGAAATCTGGATAAGAAGCAAGTTAAGATGTTTGTTTAGGTCAAGGTCAAATGTCTAGACAGTTAGTCTTGAAGTTCTGAGAAACAGCTTCGATTTAAGATATTTTATCTGATATATTTAATGAGTCTTGATGCGCTATGGACGTAACGTTTTAACTTTTCTATCGAGCACAACGTATAAGGAATCACTATCGGGCACAACGTATAAGAACTCACTCTCTAGCGAGAATTTTCCAGAAGTTTTTTTTCAATCTGGATAAATAGCAAGTTAAGATGTTTTTTTTAGGTCAAATGTATTAACAGTTAGTCTTGAAGTTCTGATAAACATCTTCAATTTAGATATTTGAATTAGTTACGCCAAATTTTGTTTCCGTTTAGCTTCCGAAAAATGTCTTTTTGTGATCTTAATTATCAAATGAAAGTCGGAATGCGCTATGGACGCAAGGCTTAAGTGAACATATGAAATGAAAGTCCTAATGCGCTATGGACCTAACGTTTCAACTTTTCGCATATCAAACACTGCGCATAAGAAATCTTTCTATCGCGAGAATTTTCTAGAAGTTTTTTTCAATCCAAAATCTGTATAAATAGCAAGTTAAGATATTTGGTTAGGTCAAATGTCTAGACAGTTAGTCGTGAAGTTCTGATAAATACCTTCAATTTAGAATCTTATCTTATAATAAATTAAAGTCTTAATGCGCTATGGACGTAACTTTTTAATATTTCTATCGGGCACAACGTATAGGAAATCATTATCAAGCACAACCTATAAGAAAACACTCTGTAGCCAGAATTTTCTTGAAGTTTTTTTTTCAATCCAAAATCTGGATAAATAGAAAGTTAAGATGTTTGCTTGGATCAAATATCTAAACAATTAGTCTTGAAGTTCTGATAAACTTTTTCAATTTAGACATTCGAATTACTGACGCCAAATTTTGCTTCCGTTTAGCTTCCGAGAAATGATTTTGTGATCGTAAATATTAATTGAAAGTCGGAATGCGCTCTGGACTCAATGTTCAACTGAACATATCAATTGAAAGTTTTAATGCGCTATGGACGTAACGTTTTAATTTTTCTATCGAGCACTATACGTAAAACAAATTACTCTCTAGCGAGAATTTTCTAGAAGTCTTTTTCAATCCGAAATCTGGATAAATAGCAAATTAAGATATTTGCTTAGGTCAAATGTCTAAGCAGCTAGTCTTGAAGTTCTGATAAACATTTTCAATTTAGATATTTGAATTATTTACGCCAAAGTTTGCTTCCGTTAAGCTTCCGAGAAGTGAATTTTTGTGATCTTATACATTAAATAAAAGTCGGAATGCGCAATGGACGCAATGTTTAACTGAACACAATGCTTAGCATTTATTAGGAGACAATTTTAAAAAAGACTCCCGAGCGTAACATTGAAGAATCTTTCTATCGCGAGATTTTTCTAGAAGTCTTTTTCAATCCAAAATCTGTATAAATAGCAAGTTAAGATATTTGGTTAGGTCAAATGTCTAAACAGTTAGTCTTGAAGTTCTGTGAACATTTTCAATTTAGATATTTGAATTATTGACGCCAAAGTTTGCTTCCGTTTAGTTTCCGAGAAATGACTTTTTGTGATCTTATTCATTAAATGAAAGTCGGAATGCGCTATGGACTCAATGTTTAACTGAACATATTAAATGAAATTCTTAATGCGCTATGGACTTAACATTTTAACGTTTCTATGGAGCACTACGCATAAGAAATCACTCTCTAACAAAAATTTGCTAGAAGTTTTTCTCAATCCGAAATCTGGATAAGAAGCAAGTTAAGATGTTTGTTTAGGTCAAATGTCTAAACAGTTAGTCTTGAAGTTCTGTGAACATTTTCAATTTAGATATTTGAATTATTGACGCCAAAGTTTGCTTCCGTTTAGCTTCCGAGAAATGACTTTTTGTGATCTTATATTTTAAATGAAAATCGGAATGCGCTATGGACGCAAGGTTTAAGTGAACACAATGCTTAGGAATTATTAGGAGACAATATTAAAAAGGACTATCGAGCGTAAGCTTTAAGAATCTGTCAGAGCAACCATCTGAGGTTGATCAACTCGATCGAACTGCAAGTATAGACAGCACCTGCTCAATTTCTGTCCAAAAGTTCTCGTTTACAGATTCTTTTCAGTCTGGAATGACTCACTTAAAACCAGCAACCTCCGTGCTAAAAAAAAAAGGTTTGCGAACCAGTTCGGTCTATGAATTCAACGGAATTGTTTCAACGTTTTATGCTTGAAAGGCTTGCCTCAAAAATCTTACGGTTATCGCGAACGGATTCAGTCTATGAAATAACTTGTAATCGTATATCTTGGAACAATGCGCTATGAAAGTCTTAATGCGCTATGGATGTATTGTTTTAACTTTTCTATCGAGCACAACGTGTAAGAAATCAGTATCGAGTACAACGCATAACAAATCTCTCTCTAGTGAGAATTTTCTAGAAGTTTTTTCAATCCAAAATCTGGATAAATAGAAAGTTAAGATGTTTGCTTGGATCAAATATCTAAACAATTAGTCTTGAAGTTCTGATAAACTTTTTCAATTTAGACATTCGAATTACTGACGCCAAATTTTGCTTCCGTTTAGCTTCCGAGAAATGACTTTTTGTGATCGTCTATATTAATTGAAAGTCGGAATGCGCTCTGGACTCAATGTTCAACTGAACATATCAATTGAAAGTTTTAATGCGCTTTGGACGTAACGTTTTAACTTTTCTATCGAGCACTATACGTAAAACAAATTACTCTCTAGCGAGAATTTTCTAGAAGTCTTTTTCAATCCGAAATCTGGATAAATAGCAAATTAAGATTTTTGCTTAGGTCAAATGTCTAAGCAGCTAGTCTTGAAGTGCTGATAAACATTTTCAATTTAGATATTTGAATTATTGACGCCAAAGTTTGCTTCCGTTAAGCTTCCGAGAAGTGAATTTTTGTGATCTTATACATTAAATAAAAGTCGGAATGCGCAATGGACGCAATATTTAACTGAACACAATGCTTAGCATTTATTAGGAGACAATTTTAAAAAAGACTCTCGAGCGTAACGTTGAAGAATCTTTCTATCGCGAGAATTTTCTAGAAGTTTTTTTCAATCCAAAATCTGTATAAATAGCAAGTTAAGATATTTGGTTAGGTCAAATGTCTAAACAGTTAGTCTTGAAGTTCTGTGAACATTTTCAATTTAGATATTTGAATTATTGACGCCAAAGTTTGCTTCCGTTTAGTTTCCGAGAAATGACTTTTTGTGATCTTATTTATTAAATGAAAGTCGGAATGCGCTATGGACTCAATGTTTAACTGAACATATTAAATGAAAGTCTTAATGCGCTATGGACTTAACATTTTAACGTTTCTATGGAGCACTACGCATAAGAAATCACTCTCTAACAAAAATTTGCTAGAAGTTTTTCTCAATCCGAAATCTGGATAAGAAGCAAGTTAAGATGTTTGTTTAGGTCAAATGTCTAAACAGTTAGTCTTGAAGTTCTGTGAACATTTTCAATTTAGATATTTGAATTATTGACGCCAAAGTTTGCTTCCGTTTAGCTTCCGAGAAATGACTTTTTGTGATCTTATATTTTAAATGAAAATCGGAATGCGCTATGGACGCAAGGTTTAAGTGAACACAATGCTTAGGAATTATTAGGAGACAATATTAAAAAGGACTATCGAGCGTAAGCTTTAAGAATCTTTCAGAGCAACCATCTGAGGTTGATCAACTCGATCGAACTGCAAGTCTAGACAGCACCTGCTCAATTTCTGTCCAAAAGTTCTCGTTTACAGATTCTTTTCAGTCTGGAACGAATCACTTAAAACCAGCAACCTCCGTGCTAAAAAAAAAGGTTTGCTAACCAGTTCGGTCTATGAATTCAACGGAATTGTTTCAACGTTTTATGCTTGAAAGGCTTGCCTCAAAAATCTTAAAGTTATCGCGAACGGATTCAGTCTATGAAATAACTTGTAATCGTATATCTTGGAACAATGCGCTATGAAAGTAT